TGGAGGGAGTCATATTGAATCTCAAACTTTTATCTTGTACCTGCTGACACAGCCTCAAATGACTGGGGATGAACTACAGAAAGGACTGGCTGGTGTGAAGTGAAGGGAGTGGAGAGGAATCCCTTAGCTTCTGGTAGGCACTCACTGACCCAGCCCCAGGTGGTTGGGATATGGAAGTACAAGAAAACTTAGGTCTAAACCAAACAGGGAATGGGAACCTGAGATTTCCAAATGATGCAGCTGGCGTGTGGAGTGGGATTTGTTTTCCCCACACAATTTTTCATGGTGGTCTTAATTTCCAAGGGCTGGTTTGATACCACTGGTGCCATAAGTAGGGTCTGCGATGTATGGCCCTTGATTGCACAGAGACATATACATATCTTCAATCTATCTTTATTGATTTTTAATGAGTTTATCCTGGCAAAGGGCATTAACAAAAATTCTCTCTGAATATCGTAAAATGTTTAATAAGTCAAAAAGTTAGAGATGGAATGAACCTGATGGTTAAAGTTCAGTCACAACATGCCTTATATTTTCCCACCCCAAATCACGCTCAATTAGCAAAAGATATGGGACTAAGAGACCCTTGACTCCTAATCTATTTCATCAATATTTCTAAAGGCTGTTTCCCAAAATGCTAGTTCTTCAAGAGGTTAGTAGGGTTATGTGAAAACAAGCTTCTATGATTAACTAAATTCTGAGTTCTGGTTCAAATTACGACGTAGAGTTTTTTGTTCAGAAAATTTAACAGTATATTGAGTATCATATAATTTTAAGAAGGACATAGAGTATACTGATTTTTCTTTGACTTATATCTCGCCATAGTCATAGAAGCTACTTTGGAAACTGTGCTGCAACATTTCTGTTTGTCTGGAGTGCAATCTCAATGGGAGATTTGGACAAAGATTTTTTTGAAGAAGTTTCTTTTGAAAATATGAGAGAAAAAGTATAGCTCAGACTGCAGAGTCTAAAAACTACAAAGCAATGTTGGAAGCTTCCATATAAGATGCTTACGTATAAAAGACTTAATGAAAAAATGTCTTTATGTCTGATGTTTGATTTAGCACAGCTGTTTCTTTCTTTATTTTCAAGATTGAAATAACATCATCCAAAAATGGAGAAAAAAAAAAAAATCCAGCCAGTTATTCTAGTGAATGATGCTGGCTCATAGATATTATAGAAATATTTTGATTTTGCGACTTTTCCAATGCCTTCTGCATCCTGAGTAATGAACGTATCCACAGCATGCTCAAGACTAGCCTCAAATATCCACTCTCATTATATCTGGAGGACTCCAAGCATGGTTTGTGTATGTTTTCAGGTAGTTAGAGAAATTGCAAGGGAATCCTGATGGTGTAATTGTTAAGCACTCAGTTGCTAACCAATAGATCAGAAATTGGTGCCTGCTAGAGTCTCCACAGGAGAAAAGACCTAGAGATCTGCTCCCACAAAGATTACAGTCCAGGAAATTCTAATGGGCAGTTTCTAGTCTCTCTGATAGTGTAGCTATGAGTAAGACTCTTTCAACAGCACACAACAACATGAAAGAGAGGTTCGATCCATATCGCATCAGCAACCCTAGTTATCCTTAACCTTTTTTCCATGGAAATCCACAAATGGACAATGTGTCTCCTTATAATTCAGAAAGATGTTGTCTTTCAAATTTGTAATCTCTAATTCCTGCATTTAGGCCCTGATCTTCAAACTGTCTTTTGTCTTCATGGTACTTCCTTTGTTTTAAACTAAATATGGCTTACAATATTGTAATGGATATATGAATAACAGAAAATATGGTTTCAAGATTAAATCATTCAAATAGATAAAGTTGTTGTAAGTAATAATCCATATTTTCATATGAATTAAATGTTATATATGATCACAAACAGATACTGAAGCTATAATTCTGAATATAATTTCCAAGATTCATTAAAAAAGTATATAAGAATTTGAAAGGACCAGTGACCATGGACTCAGTATAACTATAAAGATTAGCATACATGTGAAGGAGCTTCAACCATTTGTGGGGAGAAAAAACAAAACACATTACCTTTTAATTCCATTTTTCCACAAAATTTTTGGAGCCCCCAATGCATGTTTTTGTTAGGTAAGATTGAGTCCATTTTGACTGATAGCAACCTTATGTTCAATGGAATGAAACATGCCTAGTCCTGTTCCAGCCTCAAAATCATTGTTAAGCTGGAGCCTATCGCTGCTGCCACTGTGCCTACTCATTTATTTGGGGCTTTGTTCTTTTTTGCTGACTTTTCACTTTACCTAGCATAATGTCCTTCTCCAGGGACCAGTTCCTTCTGATAATATATCCAAAAAGAGATTAAGTGTCGGCATCCTGGCTTCCAAGAAGCATTCTTCCAACACAGATTTGTTTGTTCTTCAGTCAGTTCATGGTGCTTTTGATCTTTTCCTCCAAAACCTTAACTCAGATGCATGAATTCTTCTATGGTCTTCCTTATTAACTGTCCAAATTTCACATGCATATGAAACTATTGAAAATACCATGCCACTGCCCCAAGATGATGTTCAAAGTAAGTTTTAATATGTCTGCCATGTTTTCACATAGTCCAGTTGCTAGGACCTACCAGCCTTTTTTTGTTTTAGGAACTATCTTTCCTAGCCCTGACTTGCAGTGACACGGTGTTTTCTGCCTTTCAATACTTGTACAAGATCCTTTAAGAATGACAGAATCATTTTTCCCTATCTTTAACCTATTGTTGTTCTTAGGTCCAACTTGTATTTCCTACTTCCTGGATTACCTAACTATTTTTGGAGCAATTCGACTTTAAGGAGCTAATTACTGTCATTTTTATTGTTTTTTCTGATTTCTCATGCAAATAAAAATTCAGTTAGCTTCTCACACTTAATGTTCTCTCTTTCCCAAAGGGAGTTAGAAATGATTTTGTTGTTGTTTTTTTAATTAAAACTCATAATAGATCAGTCTGATCTATACTTTTTCTCTCACTTTCATTGAAATCACCCAACCAGTATCCCAAGGAAATAATCCACCTTGAAAGCAGCTGCTATTCTTTTTATTTGAAGCATCTAGCCTCTGGCCACACACTCAGTAACACATCACTCATTCAAAACTGTTGAAAAGATATTCATAATAAAATTCCACATTATATATAATAATAACTATAGCGTAGTGGTTACGAATCGGGCTGAGAGCCGCAAGGTCAGCTGTTCGAAACTACCAGCTGTTCTGCGGGAGAAAGATGAGGCTTTCTGCTCCCATAAAGATTTACAGCCTTGGAAACCCTGTACAGGGTCGTTATGAGTCAGAACCAACTCCACAGCACATAACAACAACAACAACAACAGCTACCATTGGAGTCCTGGTGTGGCGCTGTGGGTTAATGTGCTGGACTGTGAGGTCAACAGTTCAGGCTCACCAGTCGCTCCTCAGAAACCCTACACACAGTTGTTATATGTCCGAACTGACTCAGTGGCACTTAACAATAGCAACGATAACCATTGCAGTCCTGGTGTAGTGCTGCAGGACAAGCACTGGGCTGCAACGTCAGTTTTAATTGCAACATTGGTGGTTCAAACCTACCAGCAGCTCCACGGAAACCCTATACAGGGTTTCTATGAGTCTAAAGCTACTCCTTGACACTTAACAACAGCTACCATTATGGAACACATATGGTCTAGAAAATGGGACAGATTCTTTTTCAGTTAATAAACATTAAACCTTTACAAATGAAGATAGTGACTTAATTAAAGTCATGTAACTAGAAAATGTTTCAGTGAGATTTGAACTAATTCTAGAACTCCTTAATTTAACCATCATGCTAAATCCAGATTATGGGACTATTCCTTTGTTTAAAATCTGTGAGAGTAACGTTGTTATGATGTGCCCACCTATTTCTTCTGCCAAACACAGCCATTACATATGCTGATGACCCAGTCTTATTTGATGCTGTTATTAAGAGCCTTGGAGTCAGTTCTGACTCATAGTAACCTTGTATAAGGTTTCCAAGAAGCAGCTGTTTATTTTGACATCGGAAAAAATCTCAGTAGTTGCCATTATTGAAAGCTAAGGAAAGTTAACATTTACTGTGTTGTTGTTTTTTTATGTGTGAGTTGCTGTGTTTAGTGTTTCATATGACACTACCAACATTCTTGCTGTTTTTGTTAAATGCTGTTGATTAAGTTCCAACTCATAGCGATTCTGTTTAGGGTTTCCATGGAGTTGCTAGTGAGTTTGAACCACCAACCTTGCAGTTGAAGCCAACCTTATGGTTCAGTGCTGATCCTACAGCACCATACCAGGACTCACAGAGTCTTGCTTCTCATTGTTGTTGTTAAGTTCCCTCACATGGGTATTGATTCATAGCAAACCAGTATAGGGTTTTTGAGGCACAATAGGTGTTATTGCTGCTGTTGACAAGTTAACTAACTTGCCTAAGGTCACATGGCTAGTAAGTGGGAGAGGATGAGGGATGGAGCTCAGTCACCAGTGGATGGTTCACCTCTGTTAAAGGTGATAGGAATACCGGTTTTGTTGTTTGAGCTTCAGTATTTAGCAGTGTCCTCAATCATCCAAAGATGAATTTCTCATAGCCATTGTGTTTTGTCTCTTTCTTATTCCTGTGGCTACTTTTTTAACAGCTCTCTGTTTCCTAAAATTCAGTCCACTGATGGACTATAAAAACCTTCAATTGCTAAAAGTTTTTATGTTTTGGCACTGCCTGTGGTGACAGCCCCCAGGGGTGATAGATCCTTGAACAAACAAGGCTCCTGGTAAGTAATTTGGGTATCTTTTTGACTATAAGTAAACAATATTTCTTGGTTTTGCTATTCTCTCTTTCTCTCTCTCTCTTTTTTTTTTTTTAGAGATGTGTCATCTCACTGAAAAATAAGAAGCTTGTAAAAACATGAAGTGATATATCACATCTGTATTTACTCTTTAATTATCTCACCCACCTAGCCTGGAAAATTGCTAATTATTTTTTCACACTTATTTACTTCACACCTACTAGGTCCTGTTACAGAAGTCAAAACTGACATATATGTTACCAGCTTTGGTCCTGTTTCAGATGTTGAAATGGTAGGTATTTGGGAAATGTAATGTAACTCTTGAGGTTTGAAGAAACCAGGCAGAAAAAAAAATAATAATAATAAGCGAATTACTATTTATTTTGTTGTCAATCATGCAAAGCAGAGTCAGGAATAACTGGATCCCAAAGTTTTCTTAGAAGTAAGACAGTGACTGTACATTTCAGCTTTAACGTTAAAGCGTTCTTGGTTTTGGAGTCATTCCCAATAAAGAAAAGACTCCATAGCTAATCATGTGTGTTAGGGTTTTTGTTTTTGTTTTTCCTGAGAAAACTATTGAGGAAGAGAAAATTATAGACTGTAATTAGTTTGCGTGTGAAACTAGATTCTAGTCCTAAGAGACTTACATTTTAAAATTTCATGTTGGTCCAGTTGCATCATCTCTTTCAGCTATCTCTTTCTCCATTCAGCTCTTATATGCTCAAAGAGCTTAGACTACCAAGCATTAGTCCAGGATCAATTCTTCCATTCAATTCTGCTCCTATATAAAAAAATATATTTAAGTTACAAAGCAACGAGGTTATTTTTTATGACCTTAAGATTCTAGTGATTTGAAATCCTTGAGTTATTTGACAAAATTTAATACAAAAATTTGTGAAGATAAAAGTTCTCTCAACTATTATAAATTTCATCACGTCTTAAAAAAAATGACTTCTATTTTAAGATTAATTACACAATGATATTTGTTACACATTAACTCATTTTGGTACCTGGTATAAATTAAAGTACAATTATAATTACCTGCTGTTGGCAGTTTTATTAAATTATAACTATTGTTCTGAATGACAAATATGTATGGTAGTTTATTTATCAGACAAATGTAATAATAGACTAAGGTATCAGGATGGACATAAAATACTTTGTCAGGTTCTTCTCCATTGATTTAAAATATTTTCTGCTCCTATTAATTTTCTTTTTAGTTGGGGTAATATTTTTATGAATTGGAAAGAAGGTATAATTTGATGTATTTTATGTGCACATTTATGTATAGTCATCTGTGATTTGAATGCGTCACAAACTCCATTCCCTAGGAATACACAATGGATGTCTTCTTCAGACAGACATGGATTGACAAAAGACTAAAATATGATGGTCCCATTGAAATTTTGAGATTGAACAATATGATGGTAACAAAAGTATGGACTCCTGATACTTTCTTCAGGAATGGGAAGAAATCTGTCTCACATAATATGACAGCTCCAAATAAGCTATTTAGAATTATGAGAAATGGCACTATTTTATATACAATGAGGTAATCCTTTCCTTCCTTCCTTCTTGCCCATTTTAAGGGATCTATAAAACTATTTTTAAGAAAGACTGATTTTGTTTAATTACCTTTTTCCATCATAGACTCACCATAAGTGCAGAGTGTCCCATGAGATTGGTGGATTTCCCTATGGATGGTCATGCATGTCCTTTGAAATTTGGGAGTTGTAAGTTAAAAATGTTTTCAATATTTATAATCAGTTCAGATAGGTTGTTATATA